TTGTATATCTTTGGAGAAATATCTGTTCAAGCCCTTTGCCTATTTTTTAATTGGGTTGTTTGTCTTCTTGTTATTGAGTGGTAGGAGTTTTTAAAAAAATATTCTGGATATTATCCTCTTATCAGATATATGATTTGTAAATATTTTCTCCCATTCTGTGGACTGTTTACTCTCTTGACAGTTTCCTTTGATGCACAACACAATGGTCTGTAATTTTTATGAAGTCCAGTTCATCTATTTTTTCTTTCGTTACTTCTGCTTTTGATGTCATGTATAAGAAACCATTGCCAAATCCAAGGCTATGCACATTTGCTCCTCTATTTTCTTCTGATTGTTATAGTTTTAGCTCTTAAAATTGTCTTTAATCCATTTTTGAGTTGATTTTGGTATGTTCTCTAAGGTAAGCGTCCGATTTCATCCTTTTGCCTGTGGCTATCCATTATTTACTGAGGAGACTATTATTTCCTCATTGGTCTTGGCACCTTTGTCAAAGACCAGTTGACCATTCATTTCTAGGCTCTAAATTCTATTCCACTGGTCTATACAGATGCTTTTGATCATTGTAGCTTTTAGTAAGTTTTGAAATAAGGAAACTTTGTTCTTTTTCAAAATTGTTTTGATTATTTTAGGTCTCTTAACCCAAAATTCCATATAAATTTTAGGAAGAGATTTCCATTTCTTCAAAAAACATCATTGGGACTTTGATAGGGATGCATTGAATCAGTATATCACTTTGGGTTGTACCGTTGTCTTAATAATAAGTCTTCCAAACCGTGAACATGAGATATATTGATATTTCCATTTATTTAGGTCTTAACCTTTCTCCTTTTTTAGTTTAAGAATTTAAGGTGATTTCATTCTAAGTATCATTTTAGTTTCATCTCCCAGTTTTTGATATTTTTACATTTATTTTTAAATTTCTGTCTTGATATACTCCTTGACCCATGAAGTATTTGTCTTGTTTTATTTTCAAATAAATGCTTTTAAATATGATTTTACTATTGATATTTAACTTAATTGCAATATGATCAGGGTTGTGGGTTAAATGATACCAAGTCAGAGATGTGTAAAACTTGTTTTATGAACTTGCAAATATAATGTTGTTTATGTTCTTGAGAAGAATGTTTTCTATGATTGTTGGATGCAAAGTTCAGCATACATCCATTAGATCAAGCTTTAAATTCTTTGTCCTCACTGATTTTTTTGGTCTGTTTGATTTATTTCTGAGAGTTGTACTAAAATCTTCCTATCAGGATAGTGTATTAATCAATTTCTTTTGTAGGTCTATCAATTTTCCTTTTTGTATTTTAACCTATGTTATTACGTGCATACAAATTTAGAATTGTGTATCTGTGTCTATCTACTGTGTATGCGTGTGCGTGAATTGCACCTTTTATCATTTTGCATAATGATACATTTAATACTCTTTAATATCTCTAATGATCTTTTTTGCCTTAAAGTCTATCCTGTCTGATATTAATATAGTTATATCAGGTTTCGTTTGCTTAATATCTACCTGGTACATCTTTCTTTATATTTCTTCAATCAATGTATTTATCTTCTTATTCATTAAATAAAATAATTCAGTATTTTAGATAAGTTATTTTTGTTAATATCCACTGATTAGAATGTATTATGATTTTATACAACCCACTTTTTAAAAGAATACCAACATATTTATAGTTTTCTTTGTTCAACATTCCATCTCACATTGATATTCATTTGGGGATCATTTCCCTTTTATCTGAAGTGCAACCTTTATAATCTTCTTTAGTTATGGTCTTTTGATGATAAATTCTGCCATTTTTTGTTTGTCTGAAATGTTTTTGAGCCATATTATTGGAAGATAGTTCTGTTAAGTATGCAGTTCTAAACTGACAGTTGCTTTTACTCAAACCTTGATTATTTAATGTCTTTGACTTCTATAATTGCTTTAGAAGTTAGCTTTCAGTCTATTTTTTGTTCCTTTGTAAGTAATCTATCTTTCCTATCTGGCTATTTTTAATGTCAAATATTTGTCTTTTGTATTCATGGTGAAATGCTAAGTGAGATTTTATTCTTATTTATCTTATTCAGAGTCCACTGTCCTTCCTGAAATTGAGAATTTGTATCTTTAATCAAGTCTGGAAAATTCTTAGCCATTATCTTTTAAAATATTGCCTCTCAATAGACATTTCTCCAAAGAAGACATACAGATGGCCAACAGGCACATGAAAAGTTTTTCAACATCGCTAATCGTTGGAGAAATGCAAATCAAAACCACAATAAGAAATCACCTCACACTTGTCAGAATGGCTATCATCAAAAAGTCTACAAATAACAACTATTGGTGAGAATGTGGAAAAAAGGGAACCCTCGTACACTGTTGGTGGGAATGTAAATTGGGGCAGCCACTGTGGAAAACAATATGGAGGTTCCTTGAAAAATTAAAAATAGAACTACCATATGATCCAGCATTTCCACACCTGGGTATAGCCAAAGAAAACAAAAACACTAATTTGAAAAGACACATGTACCCCAATGTTCATAGCAGCATAATTTACAATTGCCAACATATGGAAGCAACCTAACACCTTGTCCAGATGCCAAGGGTTTCTACTATTCCAAGACCATGTTATAACATCTCAGCTTAAAGTTCTGTGTTTTTTGTTGTTCAAATGCTTTTTTTCTGGAAAGTACCACGCACTAAGTATTGCTGAGTATGTAGTAAAATGTTACAGAGATAGTCATTAGTCCTTGAGTGGGAAAGATCCAGTAACAGTGTTTGGCAACCCTGTTACGGGTATTGGAGTAACCCTCCTTGGAAATAAAATGGTCACACTATCTGCCAATAGGGCTAAAGACAAAACAAAACCAAACCCCATCATCCTCACTCTTAAATAACATCTACTTGTTGGATTACTATACATAACACATTTTACCTTTGTGCTGCAAAAGAGAAAGAAGGGGAGAGAGAAGAGAATGAATGAGAGCTTCTCTGAGTAATGACTATAATTAAGGCATGGAATGTGATGAAATAAAAAGAATCTTAGTTATTTCCTACCAGATATGAAATCAAATTTACTACATGGAGCAAATATCAACTTGTGAGGATACAGGAGTCATGAAAATAGGTGTTTTTTTGTTCATTCATACAACACTACAAACTAAGTAACAAGATGACAAAGACCAAGTCTGTTTTATCCCCCATTGCCTCCCCAGTGCCTAGCATGGCCATAACAGACAATATTTGTTGAATGAGGACCTACTGTGTGCTATGTACGGTACTAGGAGCAAGGTGGACATGACCCTAATCCTAAGGAGAAATCCTACTTCCTCAAAGTAATAAAAGCTGGAGTTTGGAATCAAATAAATATTAACGATATTATCGAAGATAATGAAAACAACTAACAGGGCTCCTTTTCATGATTACATTCATAGCTTTCTCTATCAACTATTATAACAACTCTGTGGAGTAGCCGGGCAAATATTAATATCCCCAGTTCACAGTTGAGATAATAATAATAATACTCAGTAGTTATTGAGGGATTCTTACTTGCCAGCACAGCGTTCAACGCTTTACATTCATTATCTCATTGAATTCCCCAATAACCCCATAGGCAGATACTACTATTTCCCTCATTTTCAGACTAGGAAATCAATGACGCTAAAACAAATTTAAGCAACTGTGCGGGGGTGGGGGTGGGGAGTGCATAATTATTAAGCGGCAGAATCATGACTTATCTCAAGCGGTGGGACTCCAGGGTTTTCCACTGTGCCTAGAAAAGGCAGCTGAACACACAGAGCAGGTGAAGATGCTGGAGCTAGTGCCAGTCGGGGCACCTTTATTACCATCCAGATATTTAACAGGTGCCCAAAGGTGAAGCTAATTTATTCCCAGAGAGTTTAAAGAGAAGACTCATCTTTAAATGACTACAAAAAGTATCCCACCATAACAGACACAATTTAACTACTGCAATAATTTTGAGAGAAGAGAATGTTTTGCTGCTATTTCCTCTAGAAGCAATGCTCACTATTTAAATCAGGAACATTCAGAAGCAGCGAGAGAACTTAGCAAACCCCAAATACATCCTCATGCAATCCATATTTACGTGGGCAACTGCCTATCACGGCCAACTGGATGGCAATTTTACTGCTGAAGTGAGTCCAGGCAAAAGGCTCAAGCAACACAAGAGCTGGGAGGGACTCTGGAAACCAGCTGGTGACTAGCTAGATACCAGTGCGCAGCCCCCGATTTACTGAGGCGGTGAGATTCACGGAGTTCCAAGACCTCCAGAAAAGCATTCCGTGCTAAAAGGCCTTCCCACCACTAGAAATCAGTCTATCCCTTTCGCCCCCTTTCCACTCCTTCTCTTGCTCTCTCTCCAGCTGTTTTCTTCCTTTTCAACACATTTTTTGAAACGGTGGTGAACAAAATAAACACGAACACGCCTTCCGAACAGATTAAAACATAATTAAACCAAGAACCTGATCCTTAGCGCTTCCCCTGCCACGGTCCACGCCCCGGGGCGTTGGAGAAGGTTCTGGTGAGGCGAGGGCTGGGGAACGCAGGGACGCCCCGCGGACGCGTGTTCCCCGCCAGCAGCAGGGGGGCGCCCTGAGCGAGTCTGCGCAGTGCACAGCTCCGCGGGTCTCCTAGCGACCCGAGAGGCGGGGGAAACACACCACCGGAAGCCGGGTGGGCAGCCGGGGAAACACGGCTGACCGCAAGCGGCTGTTCGCACCCGCGGCGCGGGCCCGGGTGTCGGTGGGCACGAACTGCAGGCCCTGGTAAGCGCGCGCAGGCGCGCGGGTGGAGCGTGGGGGGAGCCTGCGCCCCCTGCTTGCTGCGGCTGGGGGCGGGGGATGGCCGGGGGCGGCGGAGGACCCAACTCCCTTACCTCCTCATGGTCCCCCGCAAAAATAGACCATAACCAGCGCGCGACGTTCCTCAACGCCAAGGACACCTTTTTTTTTTTTTTTTTTTTTTGGTTATTCTCAGAGTCCCCCAGAGGATGTAGATGAATATACCCATTCCAGATGGGAAACTGATGGCCATAGAGTCCTCTGCGGAGACTGGTTTAGCCTGCGACCTGCCCTTCTCCGGGTTAGACAGCACCTGGAGCCTTGGCCACCCAGCTGGTAACTGTGGCCAAGCTGAGCCCGTGTTTGGAGAGTACCTCGGGTACTGGGGTGGTCTGCTGCTGTTTTGAATGTGTTGATCTCCGAGAGACAGCAGTCAGCTGTCCTGAAGAGAGATCTTAGTTCCCTGCCCAGGAATTGAACCTGGGTAGCCTGGATGAAAACCAGGAATCCTAGACACCAGGGACTAGAGGCTAGAAGCAAAGTTCCCCTGGCTCTTACCCCCATTGAAAACAAGAATGTTTCAAGGAGGCAAAAACTGTAAAAACAGGTACAGCGTTTATTATTAGAGACACAGCACAATGTATGGGAGAGCACACACTGAAACAGTTTATTTAAGTCAGGAGCTAGGCAGAAATACACACCCAGGGAGAAAGGGTATGGGCGTCTGCTCTTAATGAGGAGGAGACAGTTAAGTCAGAAACTAGGCGGAAGTACACAACCGGAGAGGAGTGCTGGCCTCCTGATTGAGAAAAGCAGTGAAGAGGTGATTTAAATCCCTTCTATAGGACAGTCCTTCCAGGTCTTTGTTTACATCTGGCCAATTATCTTGCTTCTTCCTTCACACCTGACTGGTCCTAGGATGCTCCCCAACATGCGTGTGCAATATTTTGCTAAGATGGATCCCACTGCAGAGGCCTGTGGGTGCATGTCCACACTTACTATGGGGTGGCGCCCCCTCCCTTTTTGACCCCCAAGGAGCCTTCCTGCGCATGTGCAGAAAGGGAAGTTTTCCTGACCTCAGGAGTGGTCATCTTATCTCTTTACTTCAGCAGAGCTCAGCTTCTGCCACCAGCTTTGTCCTTGGAGTGTCTGGGGGAGAACAAAGCTTCAATTTTACTCCACGTGACAGACACCAGCTGTCCAGCCCAGGGGCCCATCTGTCTCCTACCTCTGTCACTGCCGCAGGACAGGAAGCTGAGGCTTTCTGCCTTTGCTGATTCCTCGAGCTGCTTATGAGAATGGAATTCGGCTCTCTTGTAGGCAACACGATGTGATGGTTAAGATTACAAAGTCTAGAATCAGAAAGGCTGGAGTTGAAGGCCAGTTTTCCTCTTGTTTGACTGGTGACCTTAGGCAACTTAGTTGCTGTTTCTGGACTCAGTTTTCCTACCTGTAAAATGGGGACAATAAAAGGAATCAGCTTTATAGGATTGTTGTGAGGATTTACTGACATAGCACCTGTGAAGCAGTTACTGCCACATACATGCACTGTGTACATGTTAGCAATTATGAACTCTTTGAGAATCTCTCCCCACCCCCATTTTCAAACTGTTTGCTTTGAAATAATTATAGACTCACAAGAAGTTGCAGATATAGTGCAGAGGCCCCATATACCCTTCCTCCAGATGCTTCCAGTAGTACCATCTTGCATAATGATAGTACATTACCAAAGCCGGAAATCAGCACTGGCGCAGTATATGAATTAGACGGTAGACTTTACTTGAATTTCACCAGTTGTCACTTGTGTGTGTGTGTGTGTGTGGTTCAGTAAAATGTTGTCATGTGTATACATCAAGATACAAAACTGTTTCCTCACCGCAAGGGAACCACTTCATGCTATCCCTTTATTATCATTCATTTTCCCACCCACAACCCTTGGCAACCACTAATTTGGCCTCCATTTCTATAATTTTGTTCTTTTGAGGATGTTAGATAAATAGAATAATACCTTTATTAAAGGTATAAAACTTTTGAGATTGGCTCTTTTTCATTCAGCGAAAGCCCTTGAGATCCATCCAAGAGATTGTATGCATCAACAGTTAGTTCATTTTTACTGCTGAGTTGTATTTCGTGGCATGGACGTACCATGGCTTATCCATTCATGTGCTGAAAGACATTCAGGTCGTTTCTAGCTTTTAGCTATTACATATAAAGCTGCTATGAACATTTGCGTACAGGTTTTTGTGTGAACATAAGTTTTCATTTCTTTAGGATAAATGCCTGACGCTCTTTTGCAATTCTTAAACGTGGAAATATCCAAGTATCATATAGTGACTGTGAAATAGTAAACGTTTAGAAAAAATGTTTTATTTTCTGGGTCAAGCAAAATTTTTCATGAACTTAACAGAATGCAGAGTGGTAAGCTTATCAGCTATGAGAGGTAAAGTGGGGTCATGGGAAGCCCTCCAGCCAGATTGGTTGCCTTATTCACCTCTTTGGAACTCAGTTTCCTCGTTGAAAAGTGAGGAAGGTGGACTAGATTTCTTTCAAAGTTTCTGCCAGCTCTAACAATCTATGAGGTTTGAGCTAGCTGCCACACTTTCCCCATTTTAAGTGGTATGACTGTCCTTAAGTAAAAATATTGGTTATCAGATTTGATTTTATGAAGTGCTTGTGTGATGTATTAGGATAATGAGAGACCTGCCATTAAGCTGCTCAGGTTGCAAGTCCTGACTTTGGCCATGGCTGGATATATTAGATTATCCAGGTCCCATTTTCCTTCCTATTTGTCCATCTGTCTCTTCCATCTTAGCTTCATGCCCTAACTACTCAGTGCAAACAGGGGTCTGATGGGTAAAGAAACAGAGTGAAGCAGGCTGCATATGAGGCAGTAGGGAGTGGTAGAGACTGTGAATAAGAGAGCATAGGACTTGTCTAAAAGATGGCAGCCCTTATACCAATAATGGCTCCATGGATAGGTGGACCCAGTGTCCCCAGAGCTCCTGATTTCTGTTCCAGATTATTTGTGTGAACTTTTTTATATGTCAGAAGCTCTGGCATAGTGGTTAAACACCTTTCTCCAGAGGCACACTACCTGTATTAAAATTTCAGCTCTCCCCCTTATCAGCTGTGGGAACTTTGACAAGTGTTTGGTTTTCAACTTCTTTGTGCCTCAATTTCCTTATCTGTAAATGGGAATAATATTAGTACCTACTTCATAGGAGTGTTATGAGATTAAAATAAGTTAATTCATGTAAAGCACTTAGAACAACACGTGTTATATAGAAAGTTCTCAATACATGTGAACGCTTATGATTCTTATTAAAACACAAATGGGATCAAATGACAGGTCTGTGGGCCTGATACAGTCCATGAACAACCAGTTTGCAACCCTTGACCCCCTGAGTTTAGAGGAGAAATCGAGGTCCACAAAGGTTAAATGAAGGGCGAAGGTCATGCAGCTAGCTAGGGGCGAGGTGTCACTGTGTCCAAGTTCTTCCCACTGCACTGTGTCCCTTTAAAGGATAAGAAAGAGTCCCAAGAGGGGTCACAACTTGTGAGTATTCTTCACAAAGAGACTGGATAGCTGGATGGTGGTGACAGCACCACCAAATGTAATAATGGATTACATTTACACATAGTGACACGGATGAGCCTTCGTGGTATCCTGCTTGGTAAGCAAGTCACAGAATAGTACCATTTACGTACATGAAGGATACACAGGTCTTATAAGGATGTCTGCAAACAACGGGTACATTCCAAATCTGTTAAGAGTGGTTTTGCTTGTGCAGGGGAGGGCAATGACGGTGGGCTATGGGAATAACGTAGAATAAAGAAAACAGGAGAGGGGCCTTGCACAGACCAGCGATAACGTGCCATGAACCAGGACTATGATTAACTCAGACTTCGCCACGTGACCCTCCCTTCCCCCACCTCTCCTCCTGAAACAGGTGGAGACCAGCCTGCTCACAACCTCCTTCTCCCACCCTTGTGGTCCTTGTGGTCCATAACACCGGCACGTTGTCTCGCAGGTACAGAGAAGATCTGCCGTCCAAGTGCTTCACAAAGCACGGGCGCAGGTCGCCACGCCCCACGTCACTGAACAGCCGGCGGTGGAGGTTTGTGAGAACGGGACTGGATGACTTCCGGAAAGGCTGCCCGCCTTGCGGAGGTGTGATCACTCGGGGCCCTGAGGAGGGCTTTCTCCCCCAGATTTATCACAGAGCTCCCCGACCTGCCCCGAAGAGGAGCCAGAAGGACATGCTGCCTAGGGAAGCAGCCCTGCGTTCCACGCTCTCGCCGGCCCGCCAGGCGCGGAAGGACTTCCTGGCGGACGTTGAGGCCCATCCGACCCCGCACCCCTCGGCTCTCTACCCGGACCTGGAGGAAGACATGCCCGCAGAGGTGACCACCCGGGGAATACTGCTCCTTAGATGCCTGGGGAGCTCCCTCCAGGGGGAGAGGGTGATGAATGTGTCCCCAGGGGGGGAGTTCTCCTGGGGGTTGGAGCAGCCTTCTAAGACGTGCAAGTGGCAGCAACATACCCGCCGCTCCCTGTGCTTCCTATGAGGCCATCCAACTTATAAAGGCCCAGCAAACCAGAAGTGTCCGACTTGCTTACCCCTGAAGCTCTACCAGTCTACTTTGCTTGTGACTTTTTAGGGGGAGAATAGAGTGGAGGAATTGTCCAGTCTTGCTTCTGTCACGTTAGCCTGGTCTTGGGAGGTGTCCGTGAGAATTATTAACTGATGGCTAGAAAGGCACCTGCGCACCTGAAATGTCATGGGCAATTTCACCAGATTGCCAAGACTAGGGCTGGGCAGCAGCTGCGATATGTCACCTCTGTCCCAGGCTTCTTTTAAGTTGCAGGTCTAATGTCCTTCGCATACGTCTCTTGTCCTTACAGCTCAAAATGGCTTCCACACCTCCAGGCATCGGGTCTGTCTTTCAGACAAGAAGGGGAAGGGGCAGAGTTTAAAAGTTGCACGTCAGCTGACTCTTTTAATTAGGCAAATAGTAGCCTTCCCAGTAAACATCTCATTCATCTGACCACTCTTAGCTGCTAGGGAGTCTAGAAAATTGAATTTCTTGGGTGGGTATTGTAGCCCTGAACAAAATCCAGGACAAAATTCTATTAGATTTAAGGAAAGGGGGCAGGATGGATATTGGACAGGGAACTAACAGTGCCTGCTACCCCGCTACCCCCTTACCCCCTGCAGTCTGTTCCCTATGTCAGCAAGCATGACAGTTGTTGAGAAGGTAAACGCTTCTGCTCAAAGCTTCTCATTCAGAGTGAAGTCCTTGCCATGGTCTGGAAGGTCCTGCGTGTTCTGTGCTCCATCCCATTCCTGCCCTGCTCCCTCTCCAGCCTCACCGCCTACTCCTCTGCCCTCCTCAGTCTGCTGCAGCCACTCTGGCCTCCTGGCTGCTCAGCAAACGTGAACAAGCATGTCCAGTTTAGGTCTCTGTTCCTTTGTCTGGAGCACTTGCCCCCGGATGTCTGCCGGCCTCACTCCTTCACTTGCTTCAGCTCTTTCCTCAATTATCTCCTCACTGGAGAGGCCTACATGAAAAGACACTCCCCTCCCTCTCATCCTCTGTGCCTTACCATGATCTATTTCCATCCTAGCAGTTGTCAGCGCTGGGCTTCTCACTGGAATAAAAGCTCTACAAGGGCAGGGCGTTTCAAGGGCAGGGATTTTATCTGTGTCTTTCACTGTGTACCACCAATACCTGGCATATGGTAGACACTCAATAAATATTTATGGATAATGGATGAATGAATGAGTAAGTGATTAGTGTCAGGGAAGTCTGTAGAAAGGACAACTGGAATTTCTAATCAATGATTTGCCCCCTGGGCTTTCCTTCACTGCCTCCTGCGGGCCAGAGCTCTGAGTCCGTGACAAAGAGATTGTTTGAACACCTCCTTAGAGGGCACATGGGACAGTGGCTCTTATTCCCATGTCTGACCTCCTCAAACAGATGTGTTGGCTTCCTTCTGAAGCAGGATCTCTTCTTGTGGTGCTATGATGGCCACCAGCAGCTCTAGATGTAAATTTTACCCAGAAAAACACCACCTCTTTTTGCACGGTTCCAGCAAAATTCCATGACCAAATTTCCCTAGGTCTCACTTGGGTCTTGTACCCATTCCTAAGCCAGTCACTGTGGGCCTGATTAACATGGTCAGCCTGCAGAGTGACGAGTGGTCAGGACAATTCAGATCACAAGGACTGAGAGTGGAGAGAGACATGTTTCTCCAAAGAAAAGTCTAGAGACTGTTACTCATAGGAGGAAGAATGGATGGTGGGCAGTCAAATAAACAGAAATCCTCTAGAGACACTTTTTTTCTGTGGGGCAGTGGGGTCCGGGTGGGTCCAGAGGCACTGTTCCATCTAGAGGAGATAGAACTTCAGTAAAAAGGCCACATAGCTAATGTCTAGGTGATGGACGTTTACCTGCAGCACCCAGCGCTGTATTTGCACTGGAATTGATGAACAGAATTGACCAACTGGAAAGGAAAAGGAAAGGGATGACTAGGTCCATTCTGTTTTAGAATCAAGGGGCACCCTTTTCAGCTCATCTTTCTTTCCTCTAAAGTTGTTTTCTGTTTGTAACTCTTATTAAAGGTGCTGGAAGTGCTGGGTCCTGACAGGAAGCTGGAGGACACACGGGGTTATTGTCAGGGCATCCGGAAAAGAATGAAGGAACCCACAAAACTTTTAAAAAAACATTCTACTCAAGTCTTCCTGGGGCAGTAAGTATCGTTCTTAATGTCTCGCTCATTCCTGTCCCATGATGAAACGTTCTAGTACAGATCTTCCTTGACTTACGGTGGGGTTATGTCTCCATAAACCATGGTAAATGGAAAATACCATAAGTCAAAGATGCATTTAATACACTTAACCTACCAAACATCATAGCATAGCCTAGCCTGCCTTAAACGTGCTCAGAACACTTACATTAGTCTACAGTTGGGCAAAATCATCTAACACAAAGCTTATTGTAAAATAAAGTGTCGAATATCTTATGTCATTAACTGAATACAGCACTGAAGGTGAGAAACAGGATGGTTGTGTGGGTACAGGATGGTTGTAAGTGTATCGGCTGTTTGCCCTTGTGATCACGTGGCTGACGGGGAGCTGTGGTTCGCAGCCCAGCATCACGAGACAGTATCATCACTGCATATCACTGGCCCAGGAAAAGATCCAAATTCAAAATTCAAAGTGCATTTTCTAGTGAATGAATGTTGCTTGCTTTTACTCCATCATGAAGTATAAAAATTGTAAGTCGAACCATCATAAGTCAGTGACTATCTGTAGTTACCTTCTCAAAGCTTCTCATCTTTAGAATATTTTAGGAATAATTAAGAATCTTGAGAATAATTAAGAGAAGCAAAAGTAACTAAGTTCCTGAGGAGGAGGGAAGGGAGCCTCGGGTCCCGCTCTGAAGAGTGTTTACTTCATAAATGGATGTGAATTAGCCAGCTATGGAGCGAGTACGGGTGTATCTGCGTGACTCTAGGACAGCTGTCGGAGAAGAAGAAAACTGCAGAAAACCTGATTGACTTTGATTAGCCCACAATGGCTTTCTGCATTATCTGTGGCAGAAGCCCTTTTATTCAACAGGACTGAGACCAGTAGTTGGTTGAATAACCAACCAACCAAACCAGCCAACCAAGAGGCTAACATAGGGAATTGTAGAAGATGATACTTTAGTACTTGACACATTTTGCTTTACCCTAAAACATAACTGTACGTTCACTTGCTAGTCTTTTAATATAAAGCCTTTTTTTGGAGTATGGGTCTGCTGCTTGGAGTTTCCCAGTCATCTTTTTTGCATAAACTACACCAGTAATGCCACCTTCATTGAACCTTTCCAAAGCACTAAGCTTAATTTTCATAGAAACCTCTCTCTTTCATATCACACTTTTGTTTTCCCCATTCACATATTATTTAATTTAAAATGTAAATGCCATGATAAGTATACTTGACACAAACAGATTTGGGATATGCATTTGACCGTTGAAATTGATGAGATCACTGGCAGGCACTGAAGCGTATGGGTGAACTAGAGGGCAGCCCAGCCACAGCACCCAGGCCACTTACATAGGACCCAGGACCACGGCCAGGGTGTGTGGAAGGGGCCACGGAGAGCTTTGCTAGTCATACGAGTTAGCTACATGGAAGTGGAGTGAGAGAGAATCCACTGATTAATAATACATGTTGGTTAGTGGGGGACACGAGGTGACAGGAGCCCCACTGTTCTGGCCTCTTAGTGTACCCCTGGTCAGTCTGGGGAGAACAACTGGGCACACTCGTCTCAGCTCTGCCCTTCTACTGGAAAGCAAGATGGCCCATGGAAGCACGAGTTCTCCTCTCTTCCTTCCTTCTTGAGGGGAGCCCCACCCTGGTCCATGCCGCTGCTGCCCGGATGGGACAGTCTGCCCATTTCTGGATTTCAGTTAGCAAGTCCTCTTGGACCTGAACCCAAGTGCTCGAACATGGCTACCGCCAGTGATAAAGGGGACATTTTGGCTTTCGTCTTTGCTCTTTGTATTATTTTTCAGTGCTTAGAATGTGGGTGGGGAAGAGGGAGGAGTGTTGTAAGTAGGGGGTCCCCTTGGAGACTCCAACAGTGTGGGTCAGTGTGGCCCTGTGAGCATCTTTGAATTCTTGACCCTCAGGGACCACTAGCTCATTCTATTTATGCAAAAAGATCAACAGTACTTATCAAGCACCTACTATGGGTCATGGTCAGTGCTAGGTTCTGAGGACACAGTGGTAAACAAGTTAGGACCCCATCTTCGTGGTGATTGCAGACTGGTGTGGAAGAAAGCAGTAAATATCAAGGGCATCGAGTCTTTGTTCACAAAGCTATATGTTTATGAAATATGACTTTTCTTTTATTTCTATTTATATCTGACACCAAGCCCTCATCCCACTGAATAGCAAACATTCAGTCGTGGTCATTTTTTGTCGTGTAAGAAAGTGGGGTAGGCCTCTAGCAATTGCAGAGGCAATTAAATTGATATTTAATTTCTTTCTGGTTTGGGGGACTCTTTCTTTTCTCAACCCTTTGCTGTTTCTGTCACACTCTATGCATCCACCCCACTCTCCCCATCCCATCTCAACACCTACATAATTACTTCAGTGAGCTTGGGTTTCTACACAATATAAGATGTGTCTTTCACTTACGCAGTTTTCTTGGTCAACCCTGTAAAAATCTCCAGGGCAAGAAATTTCAAGCTAATGGGTTATCTACTTAAGAGGGGAGAAGGTAAAGTATAGAGAAAATGAACAAAATTAATGTGTTAATAAATTGTCATATCACAGAATGAATGTATAATTACATAATGGCGAGGGCTTTTTTGGTCAGTGTATTCTCAGTTTCCTATGGCTGCTACACAAAGTAACACAAACTTGGTGGCTTAAAGCAATAGAAATTTATTATCTTGCAGTTCTGAAGGCCTGAAGTCAGAAATCAGAATTACTGTGCTGAAATCAAAGTATCTGCAGGTACATGTCCTTCCAGAGGCTCTAGGGAATAATCTATTCCTTGCCTCTTTCAGTTTCTGTAGGCTGCCAGCCTTCCTTGGCTTGTGGCCATATCACTCCATTCTTCAAAGGGCAGCATCTTCAAATCTTTCCCTGCCCCGTCTTCACATCACCTTCTCCTCTGTGTGTGTGTCAGATCTTCCTCTACCTCTCTCCTATAAGGCACTGTGATGGCGTTTAGGGCCCACCCAGATAATCCAGGATAATCTCCCCCTCGCAAACTCCTTAGTTTAATCATATCTGTAAAGACTCCTTTTCCACATAAAGTAACCTTTAGAGGTTGCAAAGATCAGCACCTGATCTCTTTGGGAGCCGTTAGCAGCCTCCCACATGAGGTAATATCTCCCATCTTTAAAACCACTTTCTTTATATAGTCTCTTCTTTCCTTTAGAGCAGAACTCCTTGAAAGAGGTGTCCATACTCACTTCCTCTTTCATTCTTTCTTGAACTCAGCAATCAGCACTCCACCGGATCTCCCTTGGGTCAAGGTCACCAATGGCCTCTATGTTACCTAATCAGTTCTCAGTGATCACCACTTGATGTAACAGTAGCAGCTGACACATTGATATCATCTTTCTGGAAACACTTTTTCATTTTGTCTCTGGTACATCCTCTTTCTTGGCTCTCCTCCTGCGTCATGGTCCTCTCCCCAGTCTTTTGCTCGTCCTTCCTCACCTTCTTTTTAACCTTGAAGTGCATCAGTCTCTGACATCTTCTTTTCTACATGTTATGCAATCTAAGTCACCTCATTCAGGCCGTCTATGTATGGATGTTTAACATTTGCCTTTGAGTGTATAATTGGCATCTCAGACTCGACAAGTCCTAACTGAACTCTTGATTTCTTCCCCAAACCTGCACCCGCTTCTGTCTTCTCCAGATCAGTAAATAGTAACTCCATTCTTCCAGTGGCTTTTGAAACAGTGGTTGCAGTCTGCCGAAAAATCCTAACGCCTTTACCTTTGAAATATACCTAGAATCTCACCTGTTCTACTACTGTCAGTCTATTCCAAGATACCATCATCTCTTGCCTGGATTATTGGAATAGTTTACTAACTGGTCTCATGGCCTCCACCCAGCCCGCATCCTCTGCCCCAGTCTATTTGTTGCACAATAGCTAAAGTGATTCTGGAAAAAACTTAAGTCATACAATATCAGTCCTGTGCTCAAAATTCTCCAGTTGCCTGCTTATTCAGAGTAAAGTCCATAGTCCTTACAGTTGCCTCTCAAGTTCCTTATGATCAGGTTCCCATTATCTCTTCAGGCCTCATCCTCTACTATTATATCCTTTAAGTACTCCTCTCCAGTCGCATTGACCTCTTTGTGTACCTCATACATGCTTAGCACCAACCTCAGGGCCTTTGCACATGCTTTTCTTTTCTGCCTGGTGTCTGCATTGTTTGATATCTACATGGTTTAATCCCTTTCTTCTTTTGGGTCTCTGCTCAAAGATCACTTTGAGAGAACTTTTCTGTATAAATAAGAGCCCCCTGTCATCACTCTCCATCCCTCCTGCCCTGTTTTATTTTTCTTTATACCACTTATAATCACCTGGTATATATTTGTTTAGCTCTTTCCTATCTGTCTCTCCCTACTCAATTGTAAGCTCTGTGAGGACAGGGTCTTAACTTTATTTACAGCTGAATCCAAATGCCTAGAATGGTGCCTGGCACATAGTTGGTGCCTAATAAATATTTGTTGAATGGATGGATGGATGAATTAATATATAGGTGCTATGAATAAAAGGTACAGGGTGCTATGAATAAAATGTGGGCTCTGGGGACAGACTGTGTGAATACCTCCCTGAGGAAGTGGCATGTATGTTGAGACATAATGGGGATGAGGGAATAGAGTTGGCATTGCAGTCAGTTAGAATAACATGTACAAAGGCCCTGTGGCTGGATGGGAGCATGATAAATTCATGGGACTGAGAGGGGGCCACTATGGTTGGAGCTCAGAGAGTGAGGGAGTGTGTAGTTACAGAAGAATCTGGAGAGATAGGCAAGGAACAGGCCATGAAGAGCCCTGAAAACTGAGTTTAGACTTAGATCTTTACTGGAGGAGTAACAAGAAGCTATTGAACTCAAAAATCTTGTACCTGAATGTCCATAGCAGCATTATTCATTATAGCCAGAGTGGCAACAACTCAAATATCCATCAACCAACTGATGATGGATAAACAAAATGTGGTCTCTCCATACAATGGAATATTATTCAGCCATAAAAAAGGAAGAAACTACTGATACATGCAACAGCATGTATGAAACTTGAAAACATTATGCTAAGTGAAAGAAGTCAGACATAAAAGATCATATACTATATGGTTCCATTCAGATAAAATGCCCAGAATTGGCAAATCCACAGAGACACAAAGTAGATTAGTGGTTTTTAAGAGCAGAGAGAATGGTGGGGGTGGGGAGATGAACAGTGACTGTTAATGTTTATGGGCCTTCTTTTTGGGGGTGACGAAGATGTTTCAGAATTAATGGTGATGGTTGCACAACTTTGTAAATATATGAAAGCAACTGTATACTTTGAAATGGTAACTATTAGGGTGTGTGAGTTATATCTCAAGTTTTAAAAAGAAGCTATTGAAGACGCTTAATCCAGGATGAAGGGTAGCTGCATTTGATAAGACAAGATTTACACTTTGGGAATGGATTAGGGATTAGCAGTTAGGGCCTTAAGAGAAAATGCAGAGACCCCAGCAAGGAGCCTTTTGCAACAGTCCAGAGAAGGAGACAGAGTTAAAATCTACCAGATTTACTAATAGGCTGGAGTTTAGGGCTGAGGGAGAGAGAAGGCAAGGATATCTCCTACTTGTCAAGATAGTCTTGACAGATTCCAAGCACTGTAATTTGCGTTTTTACCTGAAATAGGTCTTAATAAATGGTACTCATAATTTTAAAAAATTAACTTACAGTGATAAAATTCTATATCAGCTTTAATTGTTCTAAATAAATATGATATACTTGTCTTTATGATATTGATAATGAGAATATGATCTTTGAAAAATACTAACATAGAATTTGTACCAGCTTGCAAGAGCCTGCCTGTTAAACATACTTGCATTATGAGCTCCTCCCCAAGATACTATTTGAAATCCACCTGGATTCATGGCGCTGTATATTGTGATTCTTTGATGATCTCATTAACTTTAGTCCCAAGAAGACTCCTGTGTCACATCCAGGCCAGTGGCTTTATGAAGAAAAGAAGCCAAGTGAATCAGATCTGCTCTGCAATGATGGTGCACTTCGACATGAAAACGTACGCAAAGGAGTTAGCGACTTCTGCAGCTGGGCTACTAAGTTTGTAAGTTACTGGTAATACTTAAAAGTCGAGCTCAAAGTTGCTTTTGTTAAAAAACAGTGTTTGGATATAATCTAAGTCAAATAGGCAAAGTCGTAAAGGAATCTTTTGACTCTCCCACTGTTTAAAATAGAAATGTTTCTTGTAGGTGAAATTTCTGGAAAGTTTGCAAGCTTACAGCCAATGTTTGAATGTTTATTGTTTATAAGTACATTGCTGTTGTTTCATATTTTTTTTTTATTTTTAAATTTTTTTATTATAATTTTTTTAATTAGCTTTTTATTTTGGAATTGTTTTAGATTTACAGAAAAGTTTCAGAAATAGTAAGAAATTTCCCATATTTCTCATGCCCAGTTCCTCCTATTAATAACATCTCTTGTGTTAATAATTAGTATGGTACACTTGAAAAAATTAATGCGCCATTATCAATACATTTTTTTTGAATTTTATTTATTTTTTTATACTGCAGGTTCTTATTAGTCATCCATTTTATACACATCAGTGTATACATGTCAATCCCAATCTCCCAATTCATTACACCACCCCCCACCTCCCGCGGCTTTCCCCCCTTGCTGTCCATATATTTGTTCTCTACATCGGTGTCTCAGTTTCTGCCCTGCAAACTGGTTCATTTTTCTAGGTTCCACATATATGCGTTAATATATGATATTTGTTTTTCTGACTTACTTCACTCTGTATGACAGTCTCTAGATCCATCCACGACTCTACAAATGACCCATTTCGTTCCTTTTTACAGTTGAGTAATATTCTATTGTATATATGTACCACATCTTCTTTATCCATTTATCTGTTGATGGGCATTTAGGTTGCTTCCATGACCTGGCCATTGTAAATAGTGCTGCAATGAACATTGGGGTGCATGTGTCTTTTTGAATTATGGTTTTCTCTGGGTATATGCCCAGTAGTGGGATTGCTGGGTCATATGGTAATTCTATTTTTAGCTTTTGAAGGAACCTCCCTACTGTTCTCCATAGTGGCTGTATCAATTTACATTCCCACCAACAGTGCAATAGGGTTCCCTTTTTCTACACCCTCTCCAGCATTTGTTGTTTGTAGATTTTCTGATGATGCCCATTCTAACTGGTGTGAGGTGATACCTCATTGTAGTTTTGATTTGCATTTCTCTAATAATTAGTGATGTTGAGCAGCTTTTCATGTGCCTCTTGGCCATCTGTATGTCTTCTTTGGAGAAAGGTCTATTTAGGTCTTCTGCCCATTTTTGGATTGGGTTGTTTTTTTTTGTTATTGAGCTGCATGAGCTGTTTATATATTTTGGAGATTAATCCTTTGTCTGTTGATTTGTTTGCAAATATTTTCTCCCATTCTGAGGGTTGTCTTTTCGTCTTGTTTATGGTTTCCTTTGCTGTGCAAAAACTTCTAAGTTTCATTAGGTCCCATTTGTTTACTTTTGTTTTTATTTCCATTACTCTAAGAGGTGGATCAAAAAAGATCTTGCTGTGATTTATGTCAAAGAGTGTTCTTCCTATGTTTTCCTCTGAGAGTTTTATAGTGTCTGGTCTTACATTTAGGTCTTTAATCTGTTTTGAGTTTATTTTTGTGTATGGTGTAGGGAGTGTGCTAATTTCATTCTTTTACATGTAGCTGTCCAGTTTTCCCAGCACCACTTATTGAAGAGACTGTCTTTTCTCCATTGTATATCCTTGCCTCCTTTGTCATAGATTAGTTGACCATAGGTGCATGGGTTTACTCCGGGGTTTCTATCTTGTTCCATTGATCTGTATTTCTGTTTTTGTGCCACTACCATATTGTCTTGATTACTGTAGCTTTGTAGTATAGTCTGAACTCAGGGAGTCTGATTCCTCCAGCTCTGTTTTTTTCCCTCAAGACCTCTTTGGTTATTCGGGTTTTTTTGTGTCTCCATACAAATTTTAAGATTTTTTTATTCTAGTTCTGTAAAAAATGCCATTGGTAATCTGAATCTGTAGATTGCTTTGGACAGTATAATCATTTTAACAATATTGATTCTTCCAATCCAAGAACATGGTGTATCTCTCCATCTGTTTGAATCATCTTTAATTTCTTTCATCAGTGGCTTATAGTTTTCTGCATACATGTTTTTGTCTCCCTCGGTAGGTTTATTCCTAGGTATTTTATTCTTTTCGTTGCAAGGGTAAATGGGAGTGTTTCCTTAATTTCTCTTTCAGATTTTTCATCATTAGTGTATAGGAATGCAAGAGATTTCTGTGCATTAATTTTGTATCCTGCAACTTTACCAGATTCATTGATTAGCTCTAGTAGTTTTCTGGTGGCATCTTTAGGATTCTTTATGTATAGTATCATGTCATCTGCAAACAGTGACAGTTTTACTTCTTCTTTTCCAATTTGGATTCCTTTTATTTCTCTTTCTTCTCTGATTGCTGTGGCTATGACTTCCAAAACTATGTTGAATAATAGTGGTGAGAGTGGACGTCCTTGTCTTGTTCCTGATCTTGGAGGAAAGGCTTTCAGTTTTTCACCATTGAGAATGATGTTTGCTGTGGGTTTGTCATATATGGCCTTTATTATGTTGAGGTGGGTTCCCTCTATGCCCACTTTCTGGAGAGCTTTTATCATAAATGGGTGTTGAATTTAGTCAAAAGCTTTTTCTGCATCTATTGAGATGATCATATGGTTTTTCTTCTTCAATTTGTTAATATGGTGTATCACATTGATTGATTTGCACATATTGAAGAATCCTTGCAACCTTGGGGTAAATTCCACTTGATCATGGTGTATGATCCTTTTAATGTGTTGTTGGATTCTGTTTGCTAGTATTTTGTTGAGGATTTTTGCATCTATGTTCATGAGTGATATTGGTCTGTAATTTTCTTTTTTTGTAGTACCTTTGTCTGGTTTTGGTATTAGGGAGGTGATGGCCTCATAGAGTGAGTTTGGGAGTGTTCCTTCCTCTGAAATTTTTTGGAAGAGTTTGAGAAGGATGGGTGTTAGCTCTTCTCTAAATGTTTGATAGAATTCACCTGTGAAGCCATCTGGTCCTGGACTTTTGTTTGTTGGAAGATTTTTAATCACAATTTCAATTTCATTCATTGTGATTGGTCTGTTCATATTTCTGTTTCTTCCTGGTTCATTCTTGGAAAGTTATACTTTTGTAAGAATTTGTCCATTTCTTCCAGGTTGTCCATTTTATTGGCATAGAGTTGCTTGTCATAGCCTCTTAGGATGCTTTGTATTTCTGTGGTGTCCGTTGTAACTTGTCCTTTTTCATTTCTAATTTTATTGATTTGAGTCCTTTCCCTCTTTTCCTTGATGAGTCTGGCTAATGGTTTTGTTTATCTTCTCAAAGAACCAGCCTTTAGTTTTATTGATCCTTGCTATTGTTTTCTTTGTTTCTATTTCATTTATTTCTGCTCTGATCTTTATGATTTCTTTCCTTCTACTAACTTTGGGTTTTGTTTGTTCTTCTTTCTCTAGTTCCTTTAGGTGTAAGGTTAGATTGTTTATTTGAGATTTTTCTTGTTTCTTGAGGTAGGCTTGTATAGCTAGAAACTTCCCTCTTAGAACTGCTTTTGCTGCATCCCATAGGTTTTGGATCGTCATGTTTTCATTGTCATTTGTCTCTAGGTATTTTTTGATTTTCTCTTTGATTTCTTCAGGGATCTCTTGGTTATTTAGTAATGTATTGTTTAGCCTCCATGTGTTTGTGTTTTTTAAGTTTTTTTCCCTGTAATTCATTTCTAATCTCATAGTGTCGTGGTCAGAAATGATGCTTGATATGATTTCAATTTTCTTAAATTTTCTGAGGCTTGATTTGTGACCCAAGATTTGATCTATCCTGGAGAACGTTCTGTGCGCACTGGTGAAGAAAGTGTAATCTGCTGTTTTTGGATGGAATGTCCTATAAATATCAATTAAATCTGTCTGGTCTGTTGTGTCATTTAAACTTTGTGTTTCCTTATTAATTTTCTGTTCGGATGATCTGTCCATTGGTGTAAGTGAGGTGTTAAAGTCCCCCACTATTATTGTGTTACTGTCGATTTCCTCTTTTATAGCTGTTAGCAGTTTCCTTATGTATTGAGGTGCTCCTATGTTGGGTGCATATATATTTATAATTGTTATATCTTCTTCTTGGATTGATCTCTTGATCATTATATAGTGTCTCTCCTTGTGTCTTGTAACATTCTTTATTTTAAAGTCATTTTATCTTTTATGAGTATTGCTACTCCAGCTTTCTTTTCCATTTGCATGGAAAATCTTTTGCCATCCCCTCACTTTCAGTCTGTATGTGTCCCTAGGTTGAAGTGGGTCTCTTGTAGCCAGCATATAGATGGGTCTTGTTTTTCTGTCTGTTCAGCGAGCCTGTGTCTTTTGGTTGGAGAATTTAATGCATTTACGTTTAAGATAATTATTGATATGTGTGTTCCTGTTACCGTTTTCTTAATTGTTTTGGGTTTGTTTTTGTAGGTCCTTTACTTCTCTTGTGTTTCCCACTTAGAGAAGTTCGTTTAGCATTTGCTGTAGAGCTGGTTTGGTGATGCTGAATTCTCTTAGCTTTTGCTTGTCTGTAAAACTTTTGATTTCTCCATTGAATCTGAATGAGATCCTTGCCGGGTAGAGTAATCTTGGTTGTAGGTTCTTCCCTTTCATCACTTTAAGTATATCATGCCACTTCCTTCTGGTTTGTAGAGTTTCTGCTGAGAAATCAGCTGTTAATCTTATGGAGTTCCCTTGTATGTTATTTGTCATTTTCCCTTGCCGCTTTCAATAATTTTTCTTTGTCTTCAATTTTTGCCAATTTGATTACTGTGTGTCTCGGCATGTTTCTCCTTGTGTTTCTCCTGTATGGGACTCTCTGCGCTTCCTGGACTTGGGTGGCTATTTCCTTTCCCATGTTAGGGAAGTTTTTGACTATAATCTCTTCAAATATTTTCTCTGGTCCTTTCTGTTTCTCTTCTTCTGGGACCCCTATAATGTGAATGTTGTTGCATTTAATGTTGTCACAGAGTTCTCTTAGGCTGTCTTCATTTCTTTTCATTCTTTTTTCTTTATTCTGTTCCGCGGCAGTGAATTCCACCATTCTGTTTTCCAGGTCACTTATCCGTTCTTCTGCCTCAGTTATTCTGCTATTGATTCCTTCTAGTGTAGTTTTCATTTCAGTTATTGTATTGTTCATGTCTGTTTGTTTGTTCTTTAATTCTTCTAGGTCTTTGTTAAACATTTCTTACATCTTCTCGATCTTTGACTCCATTCTTTTTCCGAGGTGCTGGATCATCTTCACTATCATTATTCTGAATTCTTTTCTGGATGGTTCCCTATCTCCACTTCTTTTAGTTGTTTTTCTGGGGTTTTATCTTGTTCCTTCATCTGGTATATAGCCCTCTGCCTTTTCATCTTGTCTGTCTTTCTCTGAATGTGATTTTTGTTCCACAGGCTCCAGGATTGTAGTTCTTCTTGCTTCTGCTCTCTGCCCTCTCATATATTTTTTAAAGTGGCTGTCTGCACCCAACTTTATAGAGATACAATTGACATACAACATTGTGTAATTTTAAGGTATACAATGTGATCATTTGATACATGTATATATCGCAAAATGATTACCATGATCTGGTTAGTTAACAAATCCATCACCTCACGTAATTACCTCTGTGTGTGAGGTGAGAACGTGTAAGATCTACTCTTAGCAACTTTCAAGTATATGATACAGCATTGTTAACTAGAGTCACTATGCTGTACATTAGATTCCCCAGAACTTACTCATCTTATAATTGGAAGTTTGTACCCTTTGGGCGTCTCCCCATTTCCCCCGCCCCATTGTTTCACATTTTAATCTTTCATTTCAATGTTAGGACCTTCTTTTCTCTCTGTCCTTCCCTCTTTTTTCAATTCATTTTTCTCAGTTATATTTATCTGTAAGTACTTGGAAAGCTATGCTTGACTACAGTCGTTAATGAAAAATATTTGACATGAAGAGACTTTTGACTCAGTTATCAAGTTCTTTTCTTGCCCTCCTTCTAAGAACCTTTTTAGTTATCTATTTCTGTCCCTGAGTCCCAGTAGATGTCTAGATTCCCGATGCTTTTTCCTGAATTTCAGACTCTCTAGAATTTTCAATCCCCCTCCCCCCATTTTTTGAGTCAGTTTTAGTCAATATATTATTTTGGACTATTTCTTTGGCAAGTAATATAATTCAGACTAGATTAAGTGAGAAAAGGGAATCATCCAGAAGTATTCAGAGCTTCAGGCACAGCTGGATCTGGGTGCTAAAATGTTTTTAGGTGCTCTCCCTATCACTTAGCTACTCTCTTCTGACTTCACATTCCTGTAGTCTTTCCCTAAGAGATATCAAAAGTATTCACTAAATTTTCCAAGCTTATATCCCACCAGGCAACAACCTAACATGGGAAAAGAGCAACCTTTTTCCTGTAGGGAAAAATCCAGGGCTTACTCTCACCAGACTAACGTGGGTCACACCTGTGCCTGAATTATCCACTATGAGTAAGGAGATGGAATATGCTCATTGACTGGTCTAGGTCACATGTCCAACCCTGAGGCCAAGAGGTGGGCATGTCCAGCCCACTTGTGACAGATGGACTGAAAGTGGTGGAGGGAGGCTCTCCGGAGTGTGACTGGAGTAGGGATGCTGGACAGGGTAGGTGATGCCCACTCTACCACTGCTTGTCTACAAGTTGACTAGATAGGATTGCCCGAGTCCCAGCCCTTCCACCTCTCCCACTCCTCCTGTTGGGGACTATTCCTCTTTCGAGGCAGGAAGTGTAAGGAACCCTAGGGTAATTGTTTAACTGCTGTGGTAACCAGCCTTGTTTTCAGTCCCTTATGACCAAGGTCCCATAACTGTCATACTACTTTGGTCCCAATCACATCACCCTGTGGTATTTTCTCCATAGCACTAGTTTATACTTTCCTTCCATGTTGTTTATTTATTTATCTTTTACCTCATTGATTCTGCTTGCTCTAGTTTATACCCCGACTCGATTTAAAGACCCCGTCTATAAATTTCACTCCGACATCAGCTTCAGTTGCTAATGACCCCATTCTCTATATTCCCCAACTTAGATATTCCAAAGTAAGATTGTGTTGAGCCTATAGAGCAGGAAAAAATAATTTTCCTTTTATTCTTCTAAGTTCTCTCTGGGATCTCTATAACTAAAGGCAGATTAACAAGAGAAAAACAAACAGAAGTTTATTAACAAGTATACCTCATATATACATGGGAGATACCCAGGGAAAAATGACTAACTCTCCTAGGTGGCTTAGAATTCAGGCTCAAATACCAACTTGCGCCAAAGACAAAGAGAGAAAGGTGTGGGGAGTCAGTAATGGGGAGGTGACCAGGAAGAAATAGGAGAACAAGAGTATGGTTTATTATGCAAATTTAAGTGGGTGCCTTTTCCTTTGCTAAGAGTGTCTGTCTTATGATTTAAAGTCTTCCTTCTCTTCCTGGAATGGAGAGGGAGACAGCCTTACAAGTGGAGTTTTTTTAATAAATGTAAATTTCACTTAAAGGGTGACTTCTACTCCGTTTCTAGATCGTTTCCTGTGTTGTCTGCTGTTTCTCAAAATCATCAGCTCAAAATAAGCCTTAAGCCAGAGGCATATTTTGGGGTGCTATATTCTCCTATCCTTCAAATCTAAGTTATCTTTCAGCCATATCATAGATCCACGGTCAGTCTACAGATTAGGGGCTCTTAATGTGCCCATCTGTACTCCTGCCAGCTATGGCTGGGGGGCGGAAGGCGGGTTTGTTCTGTGCTCAAAACATGGCTGACTAAAAGGAGCCCATGGCTTCAGTAGGAGCCCCGAACAGGGCAGCTTCCTGTATAAGGGGCTGTGGGCAGAGCACAAACTAACATTTCTAGACATGTCTGGAAAATACCTCTAAAGATGTTACTACTATAAAGTGTTGGAGATGTTTGCTTTTGATCAAACAGACTGAATTTTCCTCAGCACCACTATCTCCCTCAGGACTCACTGCTTCTTGTGGGTCCTAAGTTGTCTCTTAATGCACTGACGAAGCTCTCCAGACCCCAAATACTTCTTGTCTCCTACAAATGGTGACTGAGCACTTTCTACCTCTCCTTTAAACTACCTCTCTCTTCTCTGGCCATGGTCGAATACCTCCTGTAGATTAAAGATGGAAGAAGGAGCATTTCACCATCTGTCCTTGACTCATGCCCTGTGCTATTCTTCCAGCGGGGCCTGAACATTGATGAGGAGTTCATCCTGAAACAGTTTGACATTGACTGTCAGAGCAAACCAAGCTATAATGTGCTCCATACAATGAGACCCAGCCAGGTTCCTCTGGAGCTAAAGAAAAGGATTGGGCTGAATAACCTGCAGGAGCCACAGTTTTCCCAGAAACTGCACTATGAGCAGAGACCTCAGAAACCACAGGTAACTGCAAAAAGGGAGAAGAACTGAGAATCAAAGGAAATTAAATCGTATTCAAGTATTAAATGTTCTTGACTTCTGGTACTTCAGAAGGCACTGACCTTTTTCAGGAAAATTCTTGAAATTTTTTTGATGTTTAACATTTGTAAAAAATACAATAAATAAACATTTGTTAAATGAATGAATATTTAATACATCTTAAAAAGTCAGTTATACAAACAAGGCAGGCCATTCAGCATTATTGTTAATATCTGAACAGTCATTATTTCCCTCTTTATGTGTCTTATATGTTGAGACAACCTCTTTGTGTGTTTTATATGTTGAAATCTATCTCTTTATGTGTTTTACATGTTGAAATTCTAATAGTCAGTAGAAATATACGTGAATGTTTATTATTGCAAGAGTAAGATGCTGCAGTTAACAGTTGTGAACACTGTGTATATCCAAAGAATTCTTGAATTTTTATGGCGGTCTTTTCGACCACAGACCATCATTCTTGACCATATGCTTGCCTGATAATTAACAAATCGCTCAGTTTCCCAGCACCAATTTCCTGTGAAGACAGAACAAGGAAGCAGAGATGAGAAAAAACAAGCTATGTTCTAAAGGGAAGTACTATGGGCCCCTGAGTACTTTTCTACACAATGTGTTAGTGCAAATATATATACACAAGTCAAATTGTGCCAGTCCAACAACAGATTTATGTGCCTAAGTGTGGGTGGGAAGCGGGGAGATTACAGAGTTAGTTTCTTTGGAAGTGAAGATAATAATTTCCCTCTGTCTTTTACACATAATCTTTGATACTATATTTCCAATATTTTTGACATACCAGCTTTGTCCTTTCATAATTGAACATGATCAGCTGACCTATTTTTACATTCATGATGTTTTCCGTCTTTGACTCTGTTGCATAAAGTTTATGAAAACTATGCATTCCATCACTAATTCAGCACTTAAAATTTTCCATTCTCCTCTCATCTTTCTAAAGGGTAAAATGCAGAATGATGCTGGACAGGCAAATTTTATCCATGTGGTTCAGGCACATGGGACCTGAACCACTGCTTGTTCTGAATCTGGGCTGAATGAAATTGCTCAATTCTCTGTATTTACAAATAATTGCACAAATGCTGCTTTATAAAGCATGGTGGTTATTGCCAAAATCGAACTTTTGACTGGCCAATGGAGGATCACTATGCAAAAGTTCAAATAGATTTCCACAGAGTATCATTTTCCTTCCACCTGAAGGACCTCCTTTAATAGTTCTAGTGTAGATCTGCAGGCGATGAATTCTTCCAGCTTTTCTATGTCTGAAGATATCCTTGTTCTTCCTTCATTTTTAAAGATATTTTTGTGGGTATAGAATTCTAGGTTCAAAGTTTTTTGTTTGTTTGTTTTTAGTCCTTTAAAAATGTTGCTCCACCGTCCTCCTGGTTGTGTTGTTTCTGATGAGAAATCTTATGTCATCCTTATCTTTGTTTTTCTGGACCTGTTTTTTCTTGGCTGCTTTTAATACTTTCTCTTTGTCACTGGTTTTGAGCAGTGTGATTATTATACACATTGGTGTATATGTCTTCATGTTTCTTGTGTCTGGAAAAGTTTGATCCTTTTGGGTCTTGCTTTTAAGAACTGTTGAGAAGGGTCAAAATAATGTTTAGTCTAGGGCTAACTCCCTACTACCGATGCAAGACCCTTCGTGTATTCTACCCAGTATCCTGTGAATCTTCGAGTTTCCCAGGAGGGAACAGGCCCTGGCCCTGGCCCTGTGTGCATGCAGGACGCTGTTATCTCTAATCCTTTTGGTTAGTTCTTTCCCAGACCTCAGGTGGTCTCCTCCCAGACATACACAGATGGAGACCCTCTGCAAACCTCTGTAGTTCCCTCTCTGTGCAGTTCTTTCCTTTCTGTTACTCTGGGCTGCAAACTTCAGCTGCCTTGGTCTTCCTGGACTCTCAGTTCTGTCTTCTCAACTCAGAAAGTCCACTAGGTTCCTCCTGAGCTCCTTCTCCTGCTCTGTGGCCTGGGAACTCTCTGCAGACAGTGAACTGGGGCAGTTGGGGGCTTATTCACTTTTTGCCTCTCAGGGATCACTGTCCTTTGCTATTTGATGTCCAGTGTCTTATAAATAAATATATATATATACATATATATTCAATATATATCTATATTTCGTTTTTTGGTTGTTGCAGGTGTAAGGATAAATCTGGTCCCTATTCCGGGGATGGAATCTCCATCTTTATTTTCTTATTCCACATACTCTCAGGCCTGTTATCCTCTGCTCTTTGATGTTCTTTAAAACTCTGAGCTTTTCGACTACCTTACCTTTGCTCACAGTATTCTCTCTGCCTGACGTGCCCCTCTTCTCATGTCTACACTCTTACATCTTCCTTTAGACACAGGTCAGATGCCAATTTTTCCATGGAGTTTTCTCCAGGTCCTTCGGTTGACATTAACTTATTCTTACTTCTAATCTCTCACAGCAGTTTCTGCCTCTATTGTAGCATGTTTCTCTTGGCCCTGTATATTCATTCATCCATTTATTTATACATTCATTCAACAAACACTTCTGAGCATCTGTTACTATGTGCTGAAAAGTGCTGGGAGCAAATGAAGGACTGTTTCCTGCATTTAAGGAGCTTACGGTCTAGTGAGGTCAATGGATAAATGACTAACTATAATGAAATGATGTCATGGTTCATCCGGGTTGTAGGAAGAAGTAACCAGTTCCACCAGGCATGGGCTGAGGGTGGGTACAGTTAAGACTTCACAGAAGAAATTATGTTTGTACTGAATCTTGAAAGATCACCAGGTACCCAGCCACCTAACGTATTCCAGAGCTCAAGTTCTTTAGTGGAGCAGTATGTAGATTGCGTTCCTCTCCCTTCCTTTCTTTTTTCCTCTCTTTCCTCTCCTACCCTCCTTCCTTTAATTCAGTGGTTCTCAGCCAGAACAATTTTGTCCCCTTCCCCACCCCCACACCCCACCAGGGATATTTGGCAATGTTGGAGATGATGTTTTTGGTTGTCACAATTTGGAGATGCTACTGGCATCTCGTGGGTGGAGACCAGGAATGCTGCCCAACATCTTACAGTGCATAGGACAGCACCACCGCCCCCCACCTCCAGCAAAGAATTATCCAGCTCAAAATGTCAATAACGCTGAAGTTAAGAAACCTGATTTTAACCCAACAAATATTTATTGAGCACCTGTTGTGTCCTAAGTATTGTTCTAGATGCCAGGGGGATGTAGCGGCGAACAAGCTCAGAAGCTTACATTTTAGAAGGTCAGAGGTGAGACAACAATCAGAAAAATATACAGCATATCAAGCGGCGATAAGTGCTGTTCAGAAAAATGAGGCAGGGAAAGAAGACAAGCAGTGTTGTGCGGGGTTACAGTTTTTGAATTGGGTGGTCAGGGAAGATACAACTGAAAAGATGACCTGAAATAGGTAAGAGAGTGAGCCCTGTGGGTGTCTTGGGGAAGAGCATCATGGAGAAGGAACAGTGAGTGCAAAGGCACTGAGGCAGCAGTGTGATAGGTGCTCTAGAAACAGCAAGGAGGTCAGTCTGCTTGGATTGGAGGGATCATAATGCTGAATCCAGCTCTGAGAAGGGATTTCCCTCCCCTCTGCTCTGTCCCATCATCTCTGTTTCAGGCAGGTGTTTCTGGCTTGACTCTAGAATGGCCACACATTCCACCTCATAGTTTAGATATGAGTGAGAAGACGGAGGAGCAGGGTCTTTGTGTTTCAAGTTTCTTTGTCCTACACAAGCGTTAGACCTCCTTTCATGAGACAATGAGCGGGTATTGCATCACAGCATCAGGCTGTGAACCAGCAGATGCACTCCTGAGGAATGGGAGAAAGAAAGGAAAGACATCTCTTCCTCCCCCTCTTTCTCTCTTCCTCCCCCTCTTTCTCTCTTC